CCTTGTCACGCGTCGCTTGTTAATCACATCTGCTGCACTGAGAACCGATTACGAGCCTCGAGTTGTTTTATTCCACTTTTGCCCATAGTAAGATACAACTATTGCACCGCGTTACCTCGGAGATTTAATTTATTGGGTTGTCCGGAAAGTAATTTCGGTTTTTTCAAATAGAGAATGTTAGTTGCCTTTTTAAGCAGTTAACCTTATTCTAAACCAGAAGATCGTTTTACATTTTTACAACGCACATTTCAAGCTTCGTTTGGAAAAAGTTGTTTTGGAATCTGTCAAGTTGTTTTTGTTTGGCGTCGCATCAAAAATGGAAAACCAACATGAGCATTTTCGTCTTTTTGCTTTTTTATTACCATAAAGGCAAAAATGCAGCGCAAGCAAGAAAAGAATTGTGTGCCATATATGAAAAGGATATGTTGACTGAACTAGTCAGAATTGGTTTTCGAAATTTCATTCTGGGAATTTCGACCTCAAAGATGTACCACGTTCTGGAAGGTTGATGAAGACCAAATAAAGGTATTGGTGGACATAAATCATCATTTACGAACGAATACGAAAAATTGCTGAGAAATTAAATTTATCTAATTCGATCGTGCATGAGCATTTGAAACAACTTGGTTCCGTTTCAAAGCTCGATATTTGGGTTCCACATGTTCTCAAAGAAACAGATTTGATTCGTCACATTATCATCTGCGATTTGCTGTTGAAACGTAAGAAGAACGGTCCATTTTTTAAACGACTCATAACTGGAGATAAAAAATGGATTGTGTACAACAATATTTAACGCAAAAGATCATGGAGCAGACGTGATGAACCAGCTCAAAGCACATTAAAAGCTGATACCCATTAAAAGAAGGTGATGCTCTCTGTTTGGTGGGATTGGAGAGGAATGGTTTTTTTGAACTGCTACCAAACAATCAAACGATTGATTCGAATGTTTATTGTCATCAATTGGACAAATTGAATGATTCCATCAAGCAGAAGAAACCAGAATTGACGAACAGATAAGGTGTTGTGTTTCATCATGTTTCAACGCCAAACCTCACACAAGTTTAATGACTCGCCAGAAGCTGTTAGCGCTTGGATGGAACTTGCTACCGCATGCACCATATTCACCTGATCTGGCACCATCCGATTATTGTTTCAGTCACTACAAAATTCTTTGGATAATAAAAATTTCGATTCAAATGAAGGTGTCAAAAACCACTTAATTCAGTTTTTTGCCAATAAAGACCAGAAATTCTACAAGCGTGGAATCATGTTATTACCTCAAAGATAGCAAAAGATGTTAGAACAAAATGGTCAATACTTAACAGAATAAAACTTTTCTTTCCATTAAAAATATTGTCTTTCATTTTCATGCAAAAAACCGAAATTACTTTCCGAACAAACCAATATTAATAAAAAAATACAGGCGACGAAATGGAAATTTGCACACTCGGGCCGCATTATCGGCCGGACTATATTGAAGTTACAGATAGCTGGAAGCACAGTGGAACTCAGACTATCGCGGGAACAAGGTTAATAAAATGATTTTTCTTTATATGTAAGATTTGTATACTTACATTATTTATACGATCGTACACATACTTATACGCATACATGCGTACGCACGCATTCACGCGCGCGCACGTATACACACACATACACATACACGCGCGCGCGCACGCCGGCACGCACACACACACACACACACACGCGCGCGCGCGCGCGCGCGCGCGCGCACACGCACACGCACACGCACACCCACACACCCACACACACACACACACACATACATACAGAGTATAATATAATATACTTGCATATATGTATGTATGTAATAATGACAATTATATATGCGCAAAACTAACCGTCGATTGTTACGTCATCGCTATCGTGTCTAAAAACCATAAATTATATTTGTTAATATCACAAAGTATTGCCGTTTCTTTATTTCTCAGCCGACGTACAACGTCTTTCTCTTGCATCTGCACTTCAACTGACAACGCATGGAAGACCGCAACACGCCTATAAAGCGGCTAGAGCATGAAAATATATTGTTCATATATATACTATATGTATATATTATGTGTATGTTTTTGTATGTGAGTACACACGCGTGCATTAACTCGTATTATGAGAGGAGAAGCAAAATTGTTCTACTCCGGCAACCAGCGTGGTATGGAGGCCAGAGTGGGGAGACAATGCTTCTCCTCTCGCGCCGCGAATTAATGCGCGTGACTGTACATATATACATACATACATACATACATACATACATACACACACACACACACACACACACACATACATATATACATATCTTTTTCTTTACGAAAATATGCGTTCAAAAAAATAGAGTATTCTCTCTTCTCTCCTTCCCTTGCTCTCCTCCTCTCCACCGCTATCTCTCTTTTCCTATTTTATCTCTCTACACGAAGAAAGATATGATGATTCATCTTCATCTTGTGTCGCAAGTATCTTTTAAACGACATGTAAACTATTGTCATCAGTCTGTGTTAGATGATTGGTACCAAATATCGCAAATATACTCTATACACATCGATTAATATCAACTCATTATCTACGGATGTAAAAAAATCATCGACGATTATTACTCTTCGCTGCTCCACGGACAAATACAACAGCAGTTGACTAATGGAGTGCATGTCCTTTCCTCCAGATTCTACATGCGAGTCGTACACTCTAACACTAGATACTAACAGATATACAGGGTGACCAATGAGAATATGTTGAAAGTAAATGATTATTCGCGACAAATAAGCCGAACAAAATGAATTAAACGCCATTTTGTAGAGGAAACTTGTCAATTTTATTACCATATATATGAATAAGAAATATAATAATTTAATAATCGAAATATACATTATAAAAAAAAATAAAAATTTTGCTTACGCGTATGAATTAATGCTATATGTTTTCAAAGTGTTGTCCATCGAAATCGGCACCGAACTGCAATCGTTTGCGAAAACTTTGAAATACATTATCTAACAGATGTAGGAATGCTGCGAGTGCATTTTTCAATACTATTTATTAGCTCTGCGGTATTTTGAGATTTACGGCGTAACATTTGTCTTTGAGATAACCCCAAAGAAAAAAATCACACGGGTTCAAATCGGGTGAGTAACGATACCATTCCAAACTTTCATGAGCAAATTTCGGGTTTCCTAACCCAATTATCCTGTTGCCATATACTTTATGTATCGATTCAAAGATTTCGCGAGTACGGTGTGGGGTTGCGCCATCTTGTAAAGTGAAATTTCTTTACTAATCCACATTTCTTTGCATGGAGAAAGAATTTAGTCTCCTATAATTCTTTATAATTTTTTATAACTTTGACTGATCACGGTTCTTCAAAAAATTGCAGGTAGATCGTTTTTATAGAAATTACAGGCCACGCGGAGACCTTTTGAAGATGAAGAGAAACAGCAATAGACGTTTGGATTTTCCTGTCCCCAAAACCGATAATTTTGTTTGTTGACACATATCAAATTTCATTTTACAAAAATTTCATTTTATGCAAGATGGCGCGACCCCACACCGTACTCACGAAGTCTTTGAATCGATACATAAAGTGTATGGCAACAGGATAATTGGGTTAGGATACCCGAAATTGCAGTTCTGTATTGATTTCGGTGGACAACACTTTGAAAACATATACCGTTAATTCATATGCGCAAGCAAGATTTTTGTCCTTTTTTTATATGTGTTTCAATTATTAAATTATTATATTTCTTTTTCATATATATGGTAATAAAATTGAAAAGTTTCCTCTACAAAATGGCGTTTAATTCATTTCGTTCGACCTATTTGTTGCAAAGTAATAATCATTTACTTTCAACACCCACTAGTCACCATGCACTTTCGATATTTTATCATTATCAATTATCTGAAAGAGAATAACCGTTGAAGAGAAAGCTGGAACATGTTTCATCAATTGCGTCACGGTTTGCCGCATGGTTATCCTGCTATTTTCATTGATTGTACGCTTGTTATATCTTTCCATGGCGCAGCTGTTCTAACTTTAATGTACTTTTTGATCACAGATTATTATATGCGTTGCGACGAATTTTCTGGAAAGTTGGTGACATTTTCCTCTACGTCACAGTGCCATGGCTTATTGATATGAAAGTAGCATAAATAAAATCATTAGCCAAAAATACGCAGTATCTTCTGTGTTAATAGTAACGACCATTAATATTAATATTAATATATTCACATTGCACCGGGTTTGGATCAGTCCAAACCAATCTTGGATCGCCGCTGTCGACTCGGCGTAAATTAATTCGCAAGTACAACTACAATATAGATCTAAGCGAAGTAACATGTAAAATAATTATTAAAAAGAAACATATTTTTAATCGTTAACACAAATATATCTTGCATATGTCTGAAGCAACGAAGCTGATATATCTATCTAACGTAAAGTAAAAAAGAAATTTTGCAACATGTCCCAATGGTCGCGCAATTTCTGCAAAACCAATAGCTTCTTAACAAATCCGGAATAGAGTACTCTTGAGCGAAAATTTATATTAATCCCTAATATTACGGAATTGTTACAATGTATATAAATCGATGGATATATACAAGGTGACTCATTTTAATTTGAGAACTCAATTTCTGGAAATCACGAAATTTTAGAAAAAGATGTTTCTTACAAGAATTTCGACTTTGAAAAGCAATTAATAGGGAAATGATGCCATGCTAGTTTGACTTTGGATAATTGTTTGAAAATTATGTGAAGGTCACCTTCAATTTCTCAAATAGAAACTCCCATTTTTCATTACATCTAAAAAGTCTAGGATCACTTTTACTTCTAACATTAATTTCTAACATTTAATAGTTACCGAGATATCGTAAACTAAAGACTGAAAGTTATCAAGTTGTTCTTAAATGTCTTAAAAATACTAAGCAAATAAAAAAATCTTTCAGGCAAAAGTTGTTCAAATAAATTTATAGAGAAAGATGATATAACAAAAAATGGGGATTTCCATTTACAATTTTAAAGTTGACCTTAATTTGATTTCTAAATTTGATCCCTAGATAAAGTTCAAATTCACCACTAGATACCCATTTCTAAACTCTAAAATTTTTGTGTTTAACTTTTCTTTTTTTTTCACAAACGTCATCCCTTCAAGTTAATCCGGAGTATCCATCTTTTTGGTACACTCTGTGTATACAGGGTGTTCAGTAATTCATGTAGCCATAGTGAAAGCGTAGAATTGATTAAAATAAACATAAAAGTCTCATATCATTTTGCAATTTTCACAATAATTATCGAGTTATTAATTATAGAAATGTGACGACGAGTGAACGTTCATCAAGGTTGAATGATTGGAGAGGCATTACAGCCACTCGGGTTATAGCGCAGCCTAATTGATCCAGCAACTGTTACCGGCGTGCGGTGAAACGTAGGACGAAATAAGACTAATATAGTTGTTAGACTACAACAGTTGTTAGATCGACTGGACCGCGCTCTTGCCCGAGTGGCTGCAATGCTTCTCCAATCACCCACCTCGTCAGATTTCTATAATTAATAATTCGATAATTATTGTGAATATCGCAAAATAATATAGGATTTTTGTGTTTGTTTTCATCAATTCTATGCCTCCATTGGCTATGGCTATGTAAGTTACCAAACACCCTTTATGTATATATGTATATATGTGTATATGTGTGTGTGTGTGTATATGTAAGTTTTTATTTAATTTAGTAATTAAAACGAACTCCAACATGTATATCAAATTACAAAAATATAACGAAAAAGTGAGAAACTCTACAAGAATTTCCAATTTCCAATCGAGCATATTCGCTACAAAGAGAAGTCTCGAAAATTTAAAAAATTTACAACTAGCAAAAAGTACTCGTCGTTTAAGACATCCTGTACACGTAATTTAGTAACAAATTAGCTTTCGGAGCCTAAAACTCTCAGTCATCACAAGAAAGAAAGACAAGATCTCGTGAAAATTTTCCATAAAACAATAAACTTTGTCTAGAAATATTCAATCGTTCGTTTGACATGTCAATATGATATAAACGTTCAAGAAATTACGTGCGATCGTATATTCACCGTAGTTTCCAATAAAAGTTTAAACAGTAGTCACATCAGTTACCTCGATTCTGGAAATCGGTTTCGCGGGCTCTACATGTATGAAATCCTCCTCGTTGTTCGCGAATTCGCCGATTCGTAACTGTTGCAAGTTTGCCACGATCGAGTCTACCTGAAGCGGTTGATCCGGTGAAGCGCTCTCGCTTCGGAGTTTGCTAAAGTGAAGATAACAAATGCCGCGATAACCTTGCCAAATTATTTCGCTCGGCTTAATACCACGCTCCAACAGAGCGTTCTTCACATCACGAACTCTGACGCCGGACGAGATGTTCGAGAGCTTTAAGGAGAAATCGATGTGCGCCTTCGTTCTGGCGCGTGGATTTTTACGCAGACGAGATGTGCTTTTGATGTTATTTTCAGTTTTTGTCTGTAACATTGAAGAACAATGGAAGAGCCATTAAAGTTTAACTTAATTATTTAATAATTATAAGCTAATTTAATAATTATAAGCTAATTTTAATTAATATAATCAATGCTAGTGTCTCTCCGATGATATTATATATTGTACAATGTATATAAAAAAATAGTTGATTGATTTAAGGCTCATGGCTCCTTGCTGCAAAGGCTTAATTGATAAAGCAAGAAAATGCATGACTAAAATTGTATGCCACTTCTAAATAAAAAGATATTTGTATGAAAGGATATTTCAAGTCGCTAGAACATACTTGTAAAATGTCTCGAATACTATGCTTCTCTCTTGAAAATCAATCAACAGCTATAAAATGATTGCAATAAGGTTGGTCATACGAAATGATTGCTTATGATTAGGCTTCATATTACTCATTTGATTGCTGATTAGCTATCAAGAAAGAAGTATAGCATTCGGAGCATTTTTACGAATATGCTTTAGTGATCTGAAATATTCTTTTATATTTTTTTAGAAATAGTATTTTTGCAAAAATATTCAACGTATCGTTTCTCGCTGACTAAAGAGCGATTTAATTAAAAAGTAATAAAAAGAAATAACGCAATAAAGTAAAAGTGATGAGAAGCAATAAATAATGATATGTAAAAAAATTGTACTTCGATATTCAGAGAATTGTTTTCCTCTTCGACTGGCACCTTTTTTTGTGAACGTTTTCGAGGAAAACGCGGTTTATCAGTCTTATCTTTGCCATCCTCCGCGGTGAAGTTCTTTTCCGTATTAGACGCATTCTTCTTCGCACCAAGGCGTTTCTTGTTTCTCGGATATTTGACACGGTTTTTAATATATTGACGCGTCTCCACGTCAGAATCGACTTCTTTCAAGAAAACGTTCTTGCCATCTCTGCGAGGAAGTAACCATTTATTTGTACGAAATAGCTTACTTAGCTTGATTCAGGCAACTTAATGCATACTTTTCATCCATCTCTTTGAGCTGCTGTAATACCTGCATGGTTTTAAGTCTTCTTCCACTGAGCATGTGCCACAAAATGCCGGACGGCTTCTTCTGTCTTGGCTCAACAAATATAGTCTGCGTTGGCGTGACGATTATGTCCACTGGCACGTCATACTCTTTAAATAATTGTGGCGGTATATAATCCACGATCTGACAATCATGCACGGACGTGATAACGGTCGTATTCTCCGTTATCGTGCCCATTCTCATCATCATCGCAAACTCAAGATCCGCGAAACCTTCTCCTTTGCCAAGTCTATATCCATCTTGACTGACACATACAGATCCCAGTACAACGAGATCTACCTATAAATAACAACTATTTATAATTATATATTTTCTTCAGTATTGTTTACTATATTATTACATTTACTATATTGTAAAATATATACTATATAATAGTATTATATATTAAATATACACATACTGTTATTATATGTTTACTATACAGGGTATCTCAAACTGACCAATCTCTCATGGAGACATAGGGTGAGTCTCAGCAGGTATAAAAGTCCCATACTATTTTGTGAAATTCGCAATAGTTATTATCGAGTTATTAATTACAGAAATCTATTGAGTGAGCACTCGCTGAGATAGTATTGGACTTGCTTCGCAGGGCACAGTACAGTCCAGTCGGCCTAGCAACAGTTGCTGGCATGCGCCGACAGAAGGGACAATACACCGCTATTCAGCTATGTGCTATTCTTATTTCACTGCTCTTATACATTGTTCAATATTATCTCGGCATATGCTCATTTATCAAATTTCTCTAATTAATAATTCGATAACTATTGCAGATTTTGCTAAATGATATGGGACTTTTGGGTTTGCTTCGATCTGTCCCATGTCTCCACGAGATTGTTCAGATGGTCCGAAACATCCTATATATTTACATATAGACTTAATATAACTAATTTCTTTTTTCTATGTACCTATGTTTATATAGTAATTCAATATATGTATATCTCTTTTTTTGATAATTATATATAATTCAATAGTATATTATTTTCAAGTTAAAAATAAAATACCTTAATATGGGAGTCAAGTCCTAGTGGTTTACCAGATTGTTCCAAGCCATGCATAGTAGCCAATATTTTTAATTGTTCTTTTGTTGCACCAGCGACAGGTGTAACATGTAGAAACAAACCAGATCTTAATCGTGGAATAGGCACAATAATCTCTTTGTTAGCTTCAAGAGCCAAAAATCTTACTCGTTCCTGTGGCTTATCTGGATTTATTTTTATAGTTTGTGCTCTCTTAAATTCATCCAATTCGGTTAATCGTTGTGCTGCTTCAGCAGCACCTTTAAAGTTTGGAATACGTTTATATATATTAACAGGAAAGTTCACCAATTCATTCTTTGTCATGTAATCCCATACTTTCCGACGGAAACTCATCTTGGTTATCTCTTCGGCTGTAAGAAAATATTGACATAGAACAAACCGTTAATAGAATCTCTATTCTATTAACTATTCTATTAACTTCTAAATACACGTAATATGCATAATCATACATATCAAACACTAAAATACGATCACCTAAAAATTAATACATAATACTACACAAATATATAAATAAAGGACAAATAAAAATATTAACACAATCATTTATATAAAATAATTTTAAAGTAACGAGACAAAATAAATGTGTCAAATCGTTGATATTTACATTCGATAAGTATACAAAAACATTTCTTTTGACAGTTAGTAATAACTCGGCAAGAAGTAAAAGGTTAAATGAACACTCGTTATGTGCCTAATACGCCAATATAATTACTCACGTAATTTTGCAGTCATCTTGATAGATCTACAAGCCGAATTTTGCAGCACAGACAATTGTGACCAGACTTGACAGATCTAAAAAAGATAATCTTAAGGAAATACCTCTTACAAAAATATGCTTGCACAATTTATTCCATTTATACACGGCCCTTTCGATGTAGTTTCTATTTCTATGTGTTGTCACATGTTCACAAACTCTGTGAAATTGGAATTCTCTAGAAATCCATCTCATCACGTGTTAAAGCAGTTCTGTATACGCGGTTAAATCAATGTGAACCGACATTATATAATAAATAACAATTTTTATTGTCCTGCTCGTATTCATTCATGAAATCGATATTTGTGATTGATGGATTATTGTTGTGGATAACAAGGAAATAAATCAGCTGATTCAGTAATGCCACAACAACAGATTGGGGATTTAATAATTGGCCAAAATGGCGTCATCGCGCGAAAAAAATGATCGAAAATGGTGGAATGCCATTTAATAACATTCGCTTCTCAGGATTTGTAGGCATAATTGTCATATAAAATATTTTGATACTTTTATTTTGACAATTTTGTACGCAATAAATAGTTATGTTCATTACGTTTTATGTAACATTAGCTGTAAAATATTACAGAAAAATCGCTGTCATGATCGCTCTTAAGGCGCCATCCTACGGAATGTATGCGCAATATAAAATTGGCGAAACGAAGTCCGTCTCGGAACGAATTGCTCTCCACTGAAATATATTGGCGGTATGTCTGCGATTGGACGGCCTCCTTCCTTCAATTTCACATTAGGGAGGATTCACATCTAAGCAGAAAAGCAGGAAGCCAGTAGTCAATCAGAAATCAAGCTGGAAGTCTGCCCTTCTCTTCTGTCCCTTTCTTGAGACTACCAGCGCGAGTTCTGATTAGCTGCTGCCTTTCTGCTTCTCTGCCAAGGTGTGAATCCTCCCATACATTCCGCTTCATAAGATTGCGTGTTTAGGCTTCTATTACAATAGTCGCGTTCAGTAGAACCAGAGAGGAACATGAGAGCGGCCAACACGGTGTTTTCGACGACACCGACTTTCCGCACTGGGAAAGGGCGCCATCTGCATCCATTTTGAGAGGAGAACTACGATGCTACATCCACTTTTAGGTCTTGGTGGTAAAATCTGCATGTGGTGGAAGTCCGTGCTACATTTACACTTTCAGGAGGTTTATGTCCGTGCTGCAACCATAGTTACTATCTCTATGCCAGACAATAGGCCTGTTCGTTTTGTCTGCACAGACTGAACTGGTGTTAAATGTTATTTATTATCATTGAATATTAAATAAAAAGTAGAAGAGTTATTGTCCGCAGCGGATAATCTAACATTTAATAAGAACGAGACCAAATTCGCATGAGATGAAATTCCACTCTTTAACGCTACCATGACCTTTAATTATTCTCCGAAAACGGCGTTACAACAACTTTGACATTCTGTACAATTAGTTGCTAACATATTTTCTAATCGTACACATTCCTCTTTAATTAACATAAAGCTAGCAAATGTCCGATACTTCGACAGAATTATTTTCTTTATTCCATCCCCCGCCCCTCCTTAAATCTATTTTACAAATATCTTACATCTACTCGCTCGCTTATCTCTTATAATTAATTGTTTGCTTATCATCTATTCTTATACATATGTATGTATCTATATTTCTATGCCGCTGTTACTCCTATAATTCTTATTTCTTACCGCCGATTTTCGCTTTCCTCCATTCATTCCATTCCTTCACCCTTTCTCCCTCGCTCTCTCTCTTATCCTTTTAATCCTCCTCGTCCTCCTTCTCGCCCCCGTCTACTCCTACACCTCCCTCATTCCCCCTCTCCCTCCCCCCTCTCCTAGCAGCCTTTCTACCACTTATTTCCATCCCTCTCCCCCCCCCTCAATCGTGCACGATCAATATTTAATTTATTCATCAAATCAACGCAGATAAATGAACGATTCGTATCAACTTTTTCTTTTCTTATAGTACAATGAAAGAGTAAATCAGTATCGAAAATTGAATATTGATTAATATCATAAATCAGTGTCAGAAAATTGTCCAAGTGCAATGACAATTTGTTCTTATTTTTCAGGTACTTACCCCTCTAATTTACTCAACAAATTAACTCTGTTAAACGAACGATCTGTATAAATTTTTCTTTCCTTATAAAGAAATGAGAGAATAAATCAATACCAAAAACCGAACACCGATCAATAATAATAGCTTTTTCATCAAATTAACGCGAATTAATGAACGATTCGTATTAATTTTCTGTTTTCTTATAGAGAAAGAGTATATGAAATATCTTATATGAAAGAGTAAATCAGTACCGAAAATCGATTAATACCATAAATCAGTGTCAAAAAATTACACACGTGCAATGACAATTTTTTCTTATTTTTCAGGTACATACCCCCCTAATCTTATTCAACAAATTAACTCGGATAAATGAACAATTCGTATCAATTTTTCTTATCTTATAAAAAAATGAGAAAATAAATCAGTACCGAAAATCGAAGACCGTTCAATATATAATTTTTTCATCAAATTAACGCGGATAAATGAACAATTCGCCAGAATTTTTTCTTTTCTTATAGAAAAATGAAAGGAGAAATCAGTACCGAAAATCGAATACCGATCAATATCGAATTTATTCATCAAATTAACGTGGACAAACAAACGATTTGTATCAATCTTTTTTTCTTTTATAGAGAAATCAAAGACTAAATCAGTACCCAAAACCGGATAGTGATCAATACTATAAATCAGCGTTAGAAAATTGTGTAAGTGCAATGACAAGTTGTTTTCATCTTGCAGGTACTTACTAATTACTAAATACCCACTAATTTACTCAACAAATTAAGTCGGATAAAAGAAAGATTCGTATCAATTTTTATTCTCATATAAAGAAATTAGAGAGTCACTACCGAAAATTGAAGACCGATCAATATTTAATTTATTCATCAAATTAACACGGATAAATGAACGATTCGTACGAATTTTTTTTTCTTATACAGAAATGGAAGAGTAAATCAGTACCGAAAATCGAATATCGATCAATACCGTAAATCAGTGTCAGAAAATTGTCCAAGTACAATGACAATTTGTTCTTATTTTTCAGGTATTTATCCCTCTAATTTACTCAACAGCTTAACTCGAATAAACGAATGATTCATATCAATTTCTCTTGTCTTATAAAGAAATGAGAGAATAAATCAGTACCGAAATTTGAGGACCGATCAATATTTAATTTATTCATCAAAATAACGCGGATAAATGAACGAATCATATGAATTTTTTTTCTTATAAAAAAATGAAAGAGTAAATCAGTATCGAAAATCGAATATCGATTAATACTATAAAACAGTGTCAGAAAATTGTCCAAGTGCAATGACAATTTGTTCTCATTTTTCAGGTACTTACCCCTCTAATTTACTCAACAAATTAACTCGGTTAAACAAATGATCCGTATCAATTTTTCTTTTCTTGTAAAGAAATGACAGAATAAATCAGTACCGAAAACCGAAGACCGATCAATACCTAATTTTTTCATCAAAATAACGCGGGTAAATGAACGATTCGTATTAATTTTCTGTTTTCTTATAGAGAAATGAAAGAGTAAATCAATACCGAAAATCAAATATCGATTAATACCATAAATCAGTGTCAAAAAATTGCCCACGTGCAATGACAGTTTGTTCTTATTTTTCAGGTACTTACCCCTCTTATCTTATTCAACAAATTAACTCGGATAAACGAACGATTCGTATCAATTTTTTTTTGTCTTATAAAAAAATGAGAAAATAAATCAGTACCGAACACCGAAGATTGATCAATACCATAAATCAATGTCAAGAAAATTGTCCAAGTGCAATGACAAGTTGTTTTCATCTGGCAGGTACTTATACCACTAATTTACTCAACGAATTAAGTCGGATAAAAGAACGATCCATACTTAATTTTTATTCTGTTATAAAAAAATTAAAGAATCAGTCAGTACCGAAAATTGAAGACCGATTAATATTTAATTTATTCATAAAATTCACGCGGATAAATGAACGACTCGTATGAATTTTTTTTTCTTATTGAGAAATGAAAGAGTAAATCAGTATCAAAAATCGAATATCGATTAATACCATAAATCAGTGCCAAAAAATTGTCCTAGTGCAATGACAATTTGTTCTCATTTCTCAGGTACTTACCCCTCTAATCTTATTCAACAAATTAACTCGGATAAACGAACGATTCGTATCAATTTTTTTTTGTCTTATAAAAAAATGAGAAAATAAATCAGTACCGAACACCGAAGACTGATCAATACCATAAATCAATGTCAAGAAAATTGTCCAAGTGCAATGACAAGTTGTTTTCATCTGGCAGGTACTTATTCCACTAATTTACTCAACGAATTAAGTCGGATAAAAGAACGATCCATACTTAATTTTTATTCTGTTATAAAAAAATTAAAGAATCAGTCAGTACCGAAAATTGAAGACCGATCAATATTTAATTTATTCATAAAATTCACGCGGATAAATGAACGACTCGTATGAATTTTTTTTTCTTATTGAGAAATGAAAGAGTAAATATCAGTATCAAAAATCGAATATCGATTAATACCATAAATCAGTGCCAAAAAATTGTCCTAGTGCAATGACAATTTATTCTCATTTCTCAGGTACTTACCCCTCTAATCTTATTCAACAAATTAACTCGGATAAACGAACGATTCGTATCAATTTTTTTTGTCTTAAAAAAAAATGAGAAAATAAATCAGTACCGAACACCGAAGACTGATCAATACCATAAATCAATGTCAAGAAAATTGTCCAAGTGCAATGACAAGTTGTTTTCATCTGGCAGGTACTTATTCCACTAATTTACTCAACAAATTAAGTCGGATAAAAGAACGATCCATACTTAATTTTTATTCTGTTATAAAAAAATTAAAGAATCAGTCAGTACCGAAAATTGAAGACCGATCAATATTTAATTTATTCATAAAATTCACGCGGATAAATGAACGACTCGTATGAATTTTCGTTTCTTATTGAGAAATGAAAGAGTAAATATCAGTATCAAAAATCGAATATCGATTAATACCATAAATCAGTGCCAAAAAATTGTCCTAGTGCAATGACAATTTGTTCTCATTTCTCAGGTACTTACCCCTCTAATCTTATTCAACAAATTAACTCGGATAAACGAACGATTCGTATCAATTTTTTTTGTCTTATAAAAAAATGAGAAAAT